GATGCTTGACGTTCTTCTTTCGTTTCAAGTGCTATTCTCTATGATAAATGAAATTGTCTAATATATATAAATTTTATTCTATTACTTTAACAGCCATTTGAACGTCTGGATAACCATCAATTCTTACAGCAAGTACATACCCATAACAACCACGTCCTAATACACGAAGAGTATCGAATTGTTGTGTATTAACATCAATAGTTTGTCCATGATAATTGAGTATTGTTGATGATGAAGGTACTTCAAGACTATACATATTTAAATTATGAATAAGACAAATAATCTAATATTATATTTACGTATAAGTGCTTGCTTCTTTTTTTTCATCAGTTAAATCAGGACAAGTAATTGTAAAATTACCTACAATAATAAATTTTTATTTATTATTTTATAAATATATCAATCAATTTACCAAGTCTTTTGCTGGCTGATTTTTTAGATGAAGTCGATGATTTTGTCGACATAATACTTCAATAATAGATTTATATGTAATACTTCCAGATGTTGAAATATGTTATAGATAATATACTTCAATAATTAAATAGAATATTTTACTACAAAGATACTTCTGTATGAACGAGGCTTTACAAATATATTTTTCATACATTGTTATTATCTCTCTCATATACGTATATATATACAGAACATATACTTGATTCCTCATTTTTGAATACGTTACCCTCTCAAATAAGAATGTCTTTTAAATACGGTAACCAGCACTTTTGTTATACCCTGAGTATTTTGCTCTATGTGTCAGTGTCGGAATTGCTTACTTTGCAATGTGATGATCAAGAAATAAGAGTAGGTGAACATTCATTTGGATCTTGCTAAAAACTTTTACTCAGATCTTTCGATGTCTTTTTGTATATCTTAAATGAGTTGCACAAAAAGATGAAATTGTCATTCGAATTTTCTTTGTTTTCTGAAATAATTCAAAGTAAAAATAGAAAATAGTCAAGTCAATATTGAATAGAAACCAGGGCGAGAGTACTTAGAATCGAGCTATTTTAAATACTACTCCTCATCGTGTTTAAAATATAAAAAGACTTAAAATGATAAATGGAAACTGTAGAACTTGCATTATATTTGACATCTTTGATAAATTCTCTATACCATCTATAGTTATAATATCAAAATTATTCGTGTAAAAAAAGAAATACAATGCGTCTAAGAATTGTTTCTTATATTAATTACGTCGTTTTTTTCTGTCGTTGAAATTGAAATAATCGATTATATTATATCCGACAAACGAATAAGAATCATCTTTTTTTTCTAACGTTCAATAGACTAGACGGCAATGAAATATTTCATTATGCTTATCGGTCAACATTTTTTTTTCTCATTCTATTTGTTCAATCTATATAATAAACAGCAAATAAAATATGAGTCTATTCGCATCGATCATAATATTTGTTAAACAAAAATAATCATAGTTGTATAAGAGTATTTTTCCCAATTGTTATCTTCTGAAATATTCTCTAGAAGTTTTATCTACTTTGTAAGTATGAACACATATATTAATTCTCTTTTAAAGAGAAAACTCTTATTCATTTTAACATTGATTTTGTTATTTTTAAATATTTGCATGTGTATCTCTGTATAAAACAAATAACTATTTATGCTCTTAACATAGTCATTGTTAATAGAAGTATGTCCCAAATTGTAACTATCTGTAATATGAGATTAAAACAATTGACTTCATATGTACACTGTATTTTCTTTGGTTATAAAACATGTAAAAAGTGCAAAATTTCTCGGTCTAGTCCAATTATTAACTTGTATTGTTAGATCATGCATTCTTCATTTTCTTATCGATATTGAGATAACAAGATAATTATTACTAATGTAAACATCTAGTGATTGTTAAAATGAATTCTTAAAAAAGTTTTTTAATTTCTTATTCTTTAGATAAAATGATATCAAGATTTGAAAGTTTACCAAATGAAATTCTTTTTATTATATTTTGTAATATGTCATGGTCAGAATTATTAATATGTTTTTGGTCGTTAAATAAACGACTGGATCTATTAATATGTTCATTTTTGTCAAGGATTAACAATAAAGAAAATAGTGGTGTTGTTTTTATTCAACCAGGTTTATCATTTAAACAATGCCATTCAACATTATTTCCATTGATTTGTCAATCATCACTTTCTTCTTCTATTCGTCGAATGCATTTTGATGGAACGTATTCAAATTCTTGTGAATTAATAAATGAATGGTTGTTTGATAACAAGAGAAAATCTATTCGGTTTTCAAATATCAAATCACTTATTCTCACTCGATGTTTATTAGTGAAATCCTTAATTGATACATTGCTTTTTCTTATTAAACATCAACTTGATGAACTTACATTAATCCTTGATAAAGATATGACTCAAGTGCTTCGATATCCATATGAATCTTCAAATATGGAATTTGAAGCAGGTAAATTAAATACTGATGCGAAAATTTAAATAATGATATGACAATTGATTTCGTCTTTATATTAGGAGAATTAGTGGCAATGTTTAAAGAATTAATTGAAGAACTTTTCTCAGATAAATGTCGATTAACTTCACTTAAACTTGATATTGTTTGTGATGATTATTCTTCTCATTTTTGTCAATGTTTAAAATTACGTAATGATATTCATTCAGATTTGATTTTGAATAGTAAACAAATATATTGTCCGAATCTTCGTTGTTTACATATTCATATTAACGGCACTTTTTTTCTTGAAAATCTTATTCAATATGTTCCTCTTCTTGAACAATTAATTGTTGTTTCTCGTTTTTCATTAATATATTGTCCACGATCAACATCAGATATAAAGACTTTAATCGAAACAAATGGAAATTGGTTTAAAAAAGTAAGATAAAAATATGTTTCTATTAACTAAACTATTTTTATGTAAGAAATGTTTACTTCTCTAACTAAGAACGATCAGCATGTTGGATGATGGGATATTTCTTTTTTTGTCAAAATTTGATTGTGTTTAATTTATGTTGAAACTTGTAGATGAAAAATAGAAACGTATTCGGTAGGAATGTATTCTCAGTTCGATTGCAATATACAGGTTTGTCTCAGTATCGTTAAACGCCTCATCATGAAAAATGATGGCATTGTTATTTGTTCTAAATGAGTCTTTCGAGAATTTTTGATTCGATGAGGAGAGTTCATGTTAACCATTGTTCTTACATAATATTCTGTTCTAGGTATCAAAATTAAAGTGTTTTACTTTAAAAAGTGTTGTATCGAATGATTTAGAGTTTGCTTATTTAAAATGGCTTCTTAATAATGTTAATCATATTGAACAACTTCATATTCATCTTCAAAGTAAAGATTATTTTAAAAGAGATGAAATCATTTGGAATTCTATTATCGATGCAAATTTTGTTTATAAATATTGTTTACCTGATGAAATAATTAATTTAAGACAGTTTCATTTTTATATTATCAGCAAATGTAAACCATTAAAGAATACGAATGATGAAATAATTCATTCATTTAAAATTCATCCTTTTTTTCTTAATCGTCAATGGACAAATGTCAAATGTTTCTTTGATCCAATTATGTCTTATCAATATCTGTCTTCTTCATTAACCTATAAGATGAAATTTAATGACGGTTTCATGTAAGAACATGTGTAATATTTCTGATATAATGTTGGTTTTATTCTAGGCAGATTCCACTATGGATTTCTCAATCAAATACTCGTTATGTATGGATTGATCTTCATCCATCTCTTCATTTATTTCTTGAACAATTTAATGAATTATTTCCTAATGTTTTTTGCATCAAAGTTGCTATGAGTAAGAGTGTCTAGCAGAAAACAATTCTTAATTTGTTTCTAATAAAAAAAAATTATTTTCTATTTAGGACATTATGCATACTTTGATATTACAAAATCAAGTTCATTGATAATGTCATTCGAAATTAGAAAATGCAGATTAACTAATATTCAATTACGCAATGTCACTAGACTTGATTTTAATCCTTATTTTCATCGTGGATTAGGTAAATTTTTATTAGATTGGATGAGAATCGAGTAAAACACTTTTCTCATTTTGTTTTTTCATCAATGATTTGAGTTGTAACATTGATTGAATAGTGAGAGTGTGGGAATTTCTTCTTAGTCCTCACTTATATCGTTCTCTCATGTTGGAAATATGATGTAGCTAATAATTTTTCAAAAACTGAAATCTTGATTGTTAAATAAAGTTCCTCAGTATAGACTTTTCTCAGATCCGATTGTGTTGCAGCTTTTGCTTCACGAATTACATTTCTGTAGTAAATTTCTGAATGAACAACTCTTTCCTATTTCGACTTTGAATAAGGTATGTGTTTTGAAGAATATATTCATCTTCCAAGATGAATAACAGTTGGAGATATTATCATCTTTGACAACTAGATATGAAATAAGAAGTATATATTTGTTTTGCCATTGCCAAAGGAAAATTGTTTTTGTTTTATTAAATAGACCTTATTTCAAGTGAGCCTTTGTAATACTGCTGAAGAACGGTCATGTCTACTTTTGACGATCAACGTTCTCAAGAAGAGATATTAAATCGATAGTTGCATAAGATTATCTTGCTACTATGTAGTATTAAACAAACTTACGCGTAGAAAAGTTTGAAATACATGTCTCAAATTTTATTGAAGGATTTTGGGGCTTGTTCCAGTTGAAACAAAGCTATGTAAAATTCTTCCGTCAAAATTAGAGAAATGTACTATACAAAAAATGATTTTTACACTGGCAACAAAAAAATCTATACTATCCCGGCTGAGTTTGATGACTAAGTTTGCTTTCAGTTGTCATTCAACAGTTTGTTACAGTAAACACATCTATGAAAATATTTTGGGGAACTAACACTATCAAATATCTAAATCCGTCGTGTAGGCCGTACGTATGAAGATCATTTTTATTCAAAGATTATCAGTTATTCTTGTACATAATAGGAATATAACCATTAAATTTTGTCTAATTAGTAATATAACTAGGAAAACATGAAAAAAAGTATAGAGACTTAATTTCTTTTCATGTCATTGTGAAATGTGTCACATCCAACTTTATATCAGCTTGAAAACTTTCCATCGAGAGACTTTGAATATTTCTAATAATATTGAATCTCTTTAGATTTCGTTTATTGTGTCTTAAGATTTAGTTTATAATTTTACTTTGTATTTGTTTCGCTCGAATAAATGAGAAAAGAAATCTGAATGTGAGTATTTTGTTCTGTATAATAAAAATCGGTTTTCAAAGGAACAAGTTGTTCTATGAGATGGATTAGAAATATCTGATTCAACACGATGCTCTGAGAAGAATATATATATATATATTTTGAAGTATTCTTTTTATAATATAAAAAACTGTTTCTACTTGAAATAATCAAAAATTCAATAAAATGTTTTTTAAGGAAATACTGATGAATCAATTGATCGAAATAAGGTACGTGCAAAACTACTGGCTCATCTTATTTCAATGCCTGTTCAATTAAAAGATCTTCGAATAGAACTATTTGAATGGCTTTTACATATTATTCAATATGTAAGTATTACATTATGTTTTGTATAAATTATTTTTACTTTGCTTTTAGGCATCTGACATATTAAGAAAAGATGCATTAAATACTGTTGAGTATGCTGAATTTTATATTCCTAGTTGTCACAGGGCCACAAATGAAGGAATTCATATTGGCAAAAATCTCGTACCGTTTCTCAGTACATATATGCCACAATTACAAACGTTACGTCTCTGGCGATCAGATGATTTTCCATGGACATCTAGTATGTACATTTTATAGAAATATTTATTACGAAGTATCATAATCAAATTCATAAGAATAAATCCTAAACAACATATTCAAAATAAAAATATTCTGATTCGATATAGATCTTTCAATTTCGAGTTGCTTAAATTTATCGAATATATTCGAAGATATAAATTTAAATATAAGTATAGGCGATTTATTTTCTTTCAATCAGTTTATCGAAAGATCTATTATTATTCTTGTATAACAATCATCTTTTGCAAAATATTAAAAAAGACAGTGGAATTCGATAGAGAAATTCGGATCAGCAAACAGTCTCTCGAGCTATTTTTGCCAATACTTTTTTTCAATAAGTGATATTGAAGTGCTTCTTAAGTCAATCGATAGAGTCGAATTTGATCTAGTTGTACTAAAAAGATCACAGTTTGACTAAATCTAAGCATGAAATAGCCAATCAGAGATTTTTTTACGACATCAAAACTATTCTTATCAGTGAATTTGGCTTTCTTGAGCTCTTTGAGAATGATTTGTCTTTCGTATGAATTTTCTATTCATTTCTTATTTTTTGTTTTTAAAAGTTCGACCAAATTTTAAAGGAGGATTTACTTCTGCACCATTGATTCAACGATGGTATAAATCTCTTCAAACACGTGAATCAATCGGTATGTAAATGAGATACACTTATAACATCGAATTGAATGATAACAAAATATCTCTTTTCTAGATGAACATGTGTCGGTCTTTGAAGAAGATCTTAATGAATTAGTCAAACAATTAAAAGAATTTGTTTTTCTCGAGATTCTTGGTGAAATACATGTAGAAAAGGTTGAACCTTATCGCGCTATGGTTCAAAGACACTTCCCTTACAGTCGATGCAATGTGGAAGTGTCGAGATTGCGTCTATGGCTTTAATTTTTTTCTGAGTTTTATGGAATAATTTAAATATTCTGTTTACTTTCTTCAATACACAATAAATTATGAAAATTTTCTATGAAAAGAACTTTCTCATCACAAATGTCAATTTATTCTCAGTTTTTACTAAATTGTTGATTGTTGATTTTTGATAAGTGTGAGTCTGATGTAGATGTAGGTGTGAGTGCAGAATAGTTGTACATCCACTGTCACATAACCATAATTAATTGCTCTATTTACACACTCAACACTACCAATTGGCATAAGTATCATAGTAGACGATTGTATGTATCAACATCTGAAAAGAAATAACAAAGTATAAAGAAAGTGGCAGTTGTTTAATCTGATGGTCATACTTATTACCACGACGGAATAGTCAATATTCTTTAATTATGTGCACTTCAGTTCACTTAGAGTCGACATCATGAAACTTCGCACTCTCACGAACAGTTGAACGATTATTTTCAAGTCAGAACAACTTTTTCAAACTATCAAGAATTTTGGTAAACATCATTTCACTTTTGTTTACTTTTCTATACCATCAACAGACAAACAGAGTAGAGTTAGAACCGATTTGGCAGGACTGGACGAGATCGCATTTTTGCCAGTTCATAATATTGAAATTCATATTTGGATTTCAAAGTCTTCTTCGACAAACACAACTTTTATTCGTTTTTTTAATCTAACCTTTTCGAATCATCTTAAAAGTTAAAACTTAAAATGCACTTTTGCTCGATATAGGGGAGATTTTTCTTACGTTATATTTTTTGTTAATTTGAAGGCTTATATATTATTCACAGAATCAATTCTCAATAACACTTTAACAAAAACAAACTATTGTATGAATTTATTATTATGTCAAAATTTTGTTAGTTTAGCGTCAAAAATGAATTGGCCAGATCTCGACCGAATCGGATGGAAAAAATCTATCTAGTTCCAACTTTAATATGAATACCTTTTGTTTCTATTGGTTGATAACACATGTACAATACGAATTGTACTATTAAAAATTTCAAAAGAAAAGAAAAGAAATGTTTTTCTGTTATTGATTAAAGTAAGAGTACGATTAAATGTTCTTTATGGTATTTGAAAAAAAGTTCTTCTTCACCTCTTTATTGTTCTTAATTAATTCATCGATCATTAATAATACATTTAATTCAATTATTAAATTCTGCATTAAAATCTTCATCACGTTTTGTTTATGCATCAGATTGAGCTGATGATTTTCATATCTTGTCATTAGCACAAAATTCAATGACAAAAACTAATCTATCTTATAAATCGAGATTTTTATACGAATAGTAGTGTTTATTTACTTCTTTATGGAAAAAGTAAATCAGCATTAACATGTTTAAAATATCTACAAATTAATTTTAAAACAAAAGTAGGAACAACTCTTGCATCAGAAAGACTTCAATATTGATTGAAAAAAAGAAGATCTATTAATACAAAATGATTCATCAAACTGACAATCGTCAACTCAGATTTCTTCACAAGTTTCAACAAATACTTTTTAATCAAATTTTGAAAATTTTTCATTTGATTTATCTTCTTTTCTAGTTTCGTTCCTTGATATATTGTCAACAACTGTTAAATATCTTCCACTTCGTTATACAATAAATAAATTTTCAGAAGATCAACAATGGAATGAAGATACTTTAAAAAATTCATTAGAAAAACATATAACTTTAATCTTAATACATCGAGAATAAATTTGAATTAAACAATCGTAAGAATTTTTCTATCAATTGAAATTAAACAATCCATACGAGCAAAAATCAAATCAGTTGAAGAACATTGTATAAAATTTGATGCAGTTAATTATAAACCATTATCATCAGAATTATCAGGATACATCAAATCAAACATCATATCTTATAATTTATCAAAGATCATCACTTTATTTAATTGTTATACCTGTTAAAATATCTTCACAAAGAAAATTTTCGAATGTTTCTTTAGAAAAATACAATGAACGAAAAACTTTCAAATAATCATTCACTTTCTGTTGTTAGTATTAGTCGATCTTCAACTAAACCAATGTTTTTTGTTATATTGTAATCGTAATCAAAGAATAAAAAAGCTCTTTCTTTTAGTTTTATTTCCATCATCAATTCATTATTATCAACAACAATAACAAAAAGTTGCTTTAAAGAAAAATTTTGATTCAACAATATCTTTCTTCCAGTGATCTTTTTGTGTTAATTGAAAATTTGATAAAATTATCTGATCAAATTCAATCAATAAAAAATATTCCAAAAGATTCAATCTATTATTGGTCAACAATAAAATCGATAATTCAGCGATCAAATAATTCATCAGAAACAATAACTATTCAATTATTACCACCTATTGTTTCGGAAAAATGCCTTCATGTTTCAATGGTTAATTATCGATGTTTGGAAAATTGTGCCTTTTTCTCTTTTTCTATACATTCGTTTATTATTGTCAATACAGGGAACAGTTTTTCTGATGAGTAAATAAATCATTGATATAACTTTTCAATTAAAAATAAAATTTTTAATAAGTCATTTCTAAAACCACTAATTGTTAACTAAAGAAAATTAATAGAAAAATTTTATATGATTATTTAAGAAAAGAAAATTTTGTATTTAATGATAAATAAGAAAAAATTGAAAAGCTGTTTGAACATAGAAATAAAATACTTTCGGAGCAAAAACTATCTAAATAAATAAATAAATAATAGCATTGCAGAAAAAAAATACATAGTCCAAGTAAACTATTGATTAGTGTTAGACGAATTAACAAATATCGTTCTTCTTTAGATAATATTAATAGTCTAAGACAAAAGAAAAATTATGTCACTTAATTCACTATAGCACGTTCCACAGTGGATAGACGAATTGTTGGACTAGAATTTAATGAATAAAAATACTTTATTATCCTCTTTATTTGTGTCTTTTTCGAATGATGTCACCAGTATATATGTACATTTCTTTTCTCTCATATTACACTTTCATATTCTCTTTTTTAATATGTCTATCGATATATAGATTGTCTGATGTTCGCAAATCTCTCTTCCCCTTTTTCTCTTGTATCTCGTTATTTTATTTCTACTCTATAAACCTTTAACGGCATAGGCATAGTAACTTGAATAAAAAAAACATAATTCCAATAGTCAACTAATTGATAAACCATGTGTAAAAAACTTAATTAAATTTGTAAATAATCAAAAGATATATTGAAATATCAACAAAATCTGATGATACAACAATTATCACATATGAATTCGAACTTCTTTTGAATAATCAAAGTTTAACCTCTTGAATACTGCTGTTTTCATACTAAAGACAAACAAAACGAAAAAAGATTTTTTTCCGTTCTATCGCACGTACCAAAGAACACATGTTTTAATAGGAGGAAATGAATATATCTTCCTTCATTATATTCGATCTTGGCTAAAGTATAAAATGTTACTTTATTACGAGTAAATGTAGAGTTTACTTGAAAAATGTTGAACATTCACGAGCTTTTCAGGAATAATGTTGCCTGTCAAGGATAGTGCACGTTTTTGTGGTGGTGTGGTTTCAGCTAGAGGTTTTCTGAATATGCCTGTTGATTTCAGTTTCACAAACGAAACTTTAACAAAAAACAGAATTTTAGTAGAATTCGTAAAAGATCTTATCAAGAAAGAAAATCTGAGAAACACGCTTTAGAATTATGAGCACGATACATAATAAAAGAATTGAAGAGAAGTCGTGCAAGAAAATGAATGCCCAGTTTGACAAACTATCGATAGGATTTTCGATCAATACATGCATAATGAAGTGAACTATCATTAAGATTAACTTCACCCATGTTACGGTGATAATCAACAATTGATGAAGGTTTTAAGAAATGTTTCTTCGAACCGCTTAAAATTATAAAAAAGATTGTGAAAAACAGTAGTAAACTTCTGTACCTTTTTCAAATTGTTCAACTCTAACGATATTAGCTGTACCTTTCGAATCGATTAGATAGATATTTCTTTATCACCTGTAGCCTTCTGGCTTACAAATTTAACCATAAAGCAATTTCTCATAAAACAGGAACTAGGTGCTTTCAGCTTCTTTTGTATCAACTCTTTCGGCACTACTAGATAGAAAAATTGAATTATTTTCGTTCTGATTTTTTAATGAAAAACTAGTTCTAACGAATAGAATCTCTGAAAGAATTCGAATTGTTTTAGATAATATGGTTACTTCTTCAAGTTCATCAACAAAACGTCGTCTTCTTTCATGTAAAGACAAAGAAAATAATCATAACGATAACAGTAATGATAATGCAAAAAAAACGAAGATGATATTCGATGATCAAATGAAAATTCGAAATGAAGTAATTGAAGCATTTCTGAAGTGTAATCTGGAAGTTCCTATTCAAATAATTGCTAAGACTTTTAACGGTCATTGTATCGAATATAAGTATTCTTCTCTTTGGTTTTGATTTTTAGATGCAATTGGTCGATTAGAAACCAATAAAATCAATAGGAATGATGTAGAACATCGAAAAGAATTCTATATGCGTTTGTCTCAACATCCTGATCGCCGTTATACTCGAAATCGTAGTCAAACATATATCTTTCCTGATCTCATCAATTAACTAATTCGTTGTCGGTTTTCTAAATCATATTCGTGCATATCAAACGATCAAAACTTCTCAAAATGGAAAATCGAACAATATGAGAGAAGAAAATAAATATTATATTCAATGAGATGACATTTACTAGGACATACACTGAACATCATGTGGCATTTCACTTTATTATTATATATCTTCTCCTTCTTATTGCTATTTTGCTTTTTCATCTTCATGGAGGAGATACTAATATCGTACTGAAATAAAAAGAAGTTTCTCACCTCGATTTTTGTTTATAGTTTCAGTGATTGTTGTTTGATATGCAAGTAACCATTTGATGAAACGAGCACTTACGAACCAATTATCAGTGTATAGACAGTAGTTTTTATACAAAAGACTTCAAGCTAGATGAACGATTATTTTTTTCAAATAATGAAATTGACTGAACATCTAAAAGAACGCAAAAGTGGTCGGTATAGAGAAAGTTAACAAAAAATTAGGATTAGAAAAAATATTTATTTAGAAATACAAACTAAACGAAGAAGCGGATTGACTGAAGAGAATTGATAAACGAGCATCATAAATTATTGAAGAATATATAGAAGACGAGTGTGCGTGTGTCCTGTATACCTACATACTTCTACGCATACACATATCTTCATAATACTTATTACGAAAGTTGAGAGAATTAACAAAGATCTTCAAATAATATCTTTCAAAATATAGATGTAATAATAAAAATAATACAAATACATACACATTAGTGAACTGTGTGATCGCTTGTTTTTAATTACGATCACAGTTTTCATGACATTTTTAGTACAAAAATAACTTGTCAGTATTAGAGTCGTAAAGGAATCATCAGGTCTCTTTATAATGTGAACACGAAGTATTCGATTTCAAATATCTGGATACAATTTAGAATATACACAGTAAAGTTTGTATGCATATATTATAATCGTGATCATAAAGCTCACTGATACATGTTTTAAAGAGAAATGCAGAGAAAATATAAAGTTGGAAGAATATACGACTATTTTACTATGGACTTGGAAATTGCCAAATTTGTAACCTTGACAATGACAATATCCTGATCATTTTTTTTTAAATTCATGCATCAATTCGTTTAAAATTACCAACTATGGTTAAAATCGAGATCATTTTGTTTATCCTATCTACTTTTACTTTCTTAATGTAGTTTTTTCCTAATTAAAATATTTATTTGGAATTATTTTTAAAAACCAACAATATGTTGCTTTTAGTCGTCAGGATTAACACTTGAAGTTTTGATTAACATTAAATAAATAATCATATTAAAGAGAATTACTTAGAATTATTCCGATGCCAATTAATCTTATGAAACAATATCAATCTTACACGTTTGTAACCACATCAAATAAAAATATTTCATCTCAGCGAACTAAAACATTCTGTTACAATTATCTTTATAATATAGTAGTTATATAGTCAACTCGTCTTTAAAACTTGTTTTTAGTAGATCTTTAACATTTTTCCTATTATTATCTTTTTACTTGAAATTTAAAAATGAAGATCATTACTGGTTTTATCATGGGAGAAAAGCAATTTACGATTTAGTAATTCAAAACGATTTATTTTTGATTGTTAGATAATTTAAATCAGCTTCTATTTCATTCCCTTAGTTTCATTCTTGTTTAATAAAATTTCATCTAAACAAAGATTTTGTTAGTCGCGTGAAACGTTCGATTATTATCAATAAAGAACGAATGTTTCACGTGGAAAACAACCATTTGTTAATATAGACTATTATTTGTCGCGATAGTATCACAAATTAAATAGATGAACTTTAAACTGAGAAAAATTTTTCATTCATTCATTCATTCAGAAATAAATTTACCCATTTTTACTATTAGAGCATAGAGAGAAAGAACGAAAGAAATTCATATAGTCGGTCTACTTCTTTCTTTCTTTATTTATTTATAAAGAAGTATGACTGAGAAATGGACGAATAATCACTAAGAAAGATCTTTTTTCTCTTTTCCACTTTGTTCAAATTATTAGATGTCTCTCGGTCAATTTTATTGTTTAATTTTTTTTTATTAGAATTCTACTTTGAACAATGAAAATTTTACCTGTTGTATCGACTCATGTCGTACCTGGTCAAACAGATGTTTGTTATACAAGCAATGGAAAGTTTGTTTTTTCGTTTTTCTATTTTACAGATTTCAATATTTTTCTTTAGTTATTATATTACATGTGGTCAAGATGGTGATGTTCATGTTTTCAATACGGAATCTGTTAAAGTCAAATCTATTCATTGCGATAATCAATGTTACTGTTTAGCAGTTCATGTAAATTATATTTATGAAATATTAATCGAAGAAAATCATTTGTTTTTAAATAATTTAAGGAACGTTATCTCTTTGTTGGAACAAATCAAAATGAAGTACAGATTCGATTATTTCCTCAGGTTGATTCTCTGTCTGATTTTCTTCATGTTAATCATCCTGTATCAGCAGTTTCTTTATCAAATTCTTCTCTTTGTGTTGGAACAAGGTAAACAAATCTAATCATTTTTAAAAAGATTTTCTCACCTAACTTTTGTTTCTAGAGATTTTAAAGTACTAATAGTTAATTTAAATGATGATCCAAACAAAATGAAGTATTTCATTGGTCATCAAGCACCAATCCTTGCTGTGAATGTATATGAAGAAAGAAAATTGCTGGTAAAAGATACTTTAATATATTTTAATTGGAAAGAAAAGGGATGATTTTAGGCAACATCATGTTGTGATGGATTTGTTCGAATTTTCAATACTGATACGCAAATATTAATAAAACAATTAGATGTTATTCAAAAATCCAATAATATCGAGTAAATTCTATAATGAAAATTTATTTATTAAAGTAATCAGTATTATTCTTGTTTAGAACGGCATCATCTCAAGTTAAAATTGATTGGGATAAAACTGATCAAGTAAATATTTATTTGATTTTATTTTAAAAAAAAATTTATTTTATAATATTCGTAGTTGTTGGCAATTCCAGTAGAGAACACAATTCAATTTTACGAAAGTCACGAATGGACACGAATGAAAGAGTATAAAAATAATACAAACGATGGAGTTAGTTTTTCATTTTTAATCAAATGATCTCTTAAAATATTTTATTTCTCTCAGATAATTCATTTAGCAAGTTATTCACCATGTAGAACGTGGTTGATTGTGACCTATGTTAATGGTCAATTATCCATTCTTAACCGTCAAACATTGGATGTTTGTATGAAGTAAGAAAAAAGAACAAGAATTCATTCTAATTAAATTTCAACGAAATATATTTTCTTTGTAGTTATTCATCAACATATTTTGTTTGTTCATTAGCATGGAATCCGAAAGAACCACATCGATTCACATGTGTAACAATGGCGGTACGTAATTCTCTTAGATTAATTACAATGTCAATAAAAAAAACAGAAATAAATTTGTATATAGATACAGAGATTCAATAAAGATCGAAATTCTTCATCTTTTGTTTTATGTAAAATAAATTCCGTTCGTTTCATCGATTTTCTTTCTTATAGATCTTCTGATTTTTATAATAATAATTATCTAGTAGATGATAATCTATATTCCAAATATATTTTTATTTATTTCAGGGAGAGCATGCTCATGTTAATATATTAGAATGTTTATCAAAACCAACACTAACTTCATCGGAGAAAGTAAATTATTCTTCTTTACTTTTCATACAATATTTTATTTGATATATTTAGAAAAAAAATGAATTTGAAAAAATAACTACAAATAGCGAAGAATATGGTAATTGTACAGTATATATGATTATTTTTTATATTGAATGAGTTTTGTTTTTCTAATTGAAGATATCGAATCAGTTTCAAATGACATTCAAACTGTATCAGAAAACAAGAAAGTAATTCCTACACGATTGGAACATGCATCATCAATGTTAACTGAAACAAAACCAGTTGAATTTCAAGAATCATTTCAATCAACATCAACATCAAAATATCTTCAAAGTCGATTTTTACTTTGGAATAATATTGGCGCAATTACTTGTCATGATGAAAAAATCAAAATATCATTTCATGATAAATCATATCATGATTCAATAACAATTGATAATAAAACATATAAATATTCAGTTGCAGACTTATCATTATCAGCTGTTGTTCTTGGTTCATCACAAACAGGAAAATTATATTGTATTTTATATCAATCATTGAATTCAGATATGCGTGAATGGACAATGAATATTGAAAACAATGACAAAGTTGAATTAGTTAGTCTAGGTGAAGATTTTCTTGCTGTTGCTACATCACAAAGATTCGTTCGAGTAATGAATTTATCTGGTACTCAACAGCAAAGTATTTGTCTTCAAGGTCCAATTGTTTCTATGTCTATCTATCAAAATCAATTTTGGATAATTCATCATTCAATACAAGGTTTTTGTTTTATTTAGAAAAAAATCAACTATTAATATTTATTTTATTAAGATTCTCTGAAAGAACAAACAATATCGTATATTTATACAGATAATAAAAGTACTCATCATATAACAGGATTATTACCATTGATATCAAAATTAATTTGGATGGGGTTTGTTTCATTTTAATTGCACATTTTAAATTCTGAAATTTTATTTATTCAGATTTTCTGATAGTGGAAAATGTTATTATCTAGAAGAATCTGGACATTTAAGTATGCTTCGACATACAAACAAGAATGAATTTGAATCCGTATTGATTTTAAATCTTAAACAAGAAGTATATTTTCAATCAGAAATCATTTCAAATATAAGTTTATTTTATTTAGGCTAACAAAAATAATGTGACAGATTATTGGTTATTAAAAATAAGTGATTTCGATGATAAATTTCAATTACATGTTATTGAACTTCATGAACGATCATTTCCTAATATTGTTCCATGGCCAGTTGTTTCAATTATTTCTCCTTCTCTTGCTTTATCTCAACTTGATACAGAAGAAACTCAACTTAAAGTTTGATTTGATTTTTTTATCTTTAGTTAATTTTTGTTTCTTGTAAAATTTAGAGTGATTATTTCACAAAGAAATCACTTAATCGTTCACCATATGGTTCATCAGATGATGAAGAATATTTACATAATAAACGACCACGTGTTGTAACTAATGCTATCATAGTAAGTGTTCTATATTGAGGATCAATCTATGGATTGATCATAGAAAAACAATTTAATTTGATGATTTAATATTTGTTTTAGAATAGAGTAAAATGTGCTGTTAATGTGAAACAGGGCAAGTCAGGTATATCAACAACTACAATAACAACTGATAAAATTGCGGGTTGTTTATTTTATCTGATTGATGGTGTTTTGAAGAACCAGAATTTTGTTTACTTGTATCATAGTGATTATGTTCTTGATCGAAAAAATAAATTATTTGACAATTTTAACTTGTTATTATCTTTATTTGTTCGTGAATTAAAAATGTTTTTAACAAGTGAATATGGTTTTAATGTAAATATAGATGACCTTGAAGGATTGAGATTGTTTGTTGGAGGTGGGATCATGGATGACCGAAATCCAGAGAGGGAGGCCATATCTTTGTTGAGTAATTCAAATGATTCAACATATGAAAAAATAACATCTTTACTTGCCGGTCAACATCAACATTTATCTTTATTTAAAAAATTGGTCAATCGAACAGTTATTATTAAACCTGTAGCATATGATTGGACAGAAGAAGAACAACAAGAAGCTGAATCTAGTATGTATGACAACGAACGATCATTGCTAGAAAAAAAAGTGAATATAAAATTTTTGTTTTGAATATTTTCAATTTTTATTAGATGACCGTGATCTTATTCTACCATCCCGCCTTGAACTTCTTTATGATTGTCAATCAAAAATGGGTCAAATAATAGTTGAATGGAATGAAGAAGAAAATCAATTAGATCTGGCTCACATGAACTTTAATGTTTTACAAAAAACAGAAGAAGAGTACAAATGGGCTATCAATGCCAATGTTATTAACAAGAAAAATAATTTTGATAATGTTACACAAGAAATATTAAAAAAAGCATTATCATATATTTCATCAAATTCTTTTTTTATTTACTCACCATCATCAACAAGCTTAAATCATGACTAACTTCACGATTACATCGATTTATTTCTTATTTTTCTTATTTTTTCTTTTTCTTATTTTTTCTTATTCTTATTTTCTCGTTTTCTTACTTTTTCTTTTTTAGTTAAAATTTATTATTGAAATATTATGACGACGAAAACATCGACTTCATCAAGAAAAACAGCCAGCAAAAGATTTGGTAAATTGATTCATATGTTTATAAAATACTAATAATAATAAATAAAATTTATTATTTTAGGTAATTTTACAATTACTTGCCCTGATTTAACTGATGAAAAAAAGAAGCAAGCACTTATACGTAAATATAATATTAGATTATTTGTCTTGTTCATAATATATATATATATGTATAGTCTTGAAGTACCTTCATCATCAACAATACTCAATTATCATGGACAAACTATTAATGTTAATACACAATAATTTGATACTCTTCATGTATTAGGACGTGGTTGTTATGAATATATATTTGTTGTACGAATTGAAGGTTATCCAGATGTTCAAATGGTTGTTAAAGTAATAGAATAAAACATATATATATATATATAGATATATAGATATAGATATGATTATATATTAGACAATTTCATTTATAATAGAGAATAGCACTTGTGAAACTCAAGAAGAACGTCAAGCATCAACATATACAGATTTAACAACAATTCAAGAAGTTGGTTCACAAAATTATCCATATATTATTTCTTATTATGGAGCTGTTATTGATAAAGTAAATTATATTTTTAAGGAAAGTAGTAAATTACTTATTTGTGTAGAATTAATGGATGTATCAATGGATATATTTTATCAAACAATGCATTCATTTGATAATGTTACAAATACAGAACTTGATCGTGTTTTATGTCGTTTAACTGATAATGTAAAATATTTAATAATTCAATATATTCAATAGATAACATTAGCACTTCATTTTCTTAGAACGCGTCGAATTTTACATTGGGATGTTAAACCACAAAATATGCTTGTTAATAAATAATATGTATTTAGATTATGTGATTTTGATATTAGTCGTCAAATGCGTATGTCACAATCAATAGCTGTTGGTTCTGTTCAAGGAACTGAAGCTTATTTATTGGTGTGTAGGAAAAAATTATGTTCTAATTTCTATTATATTTTATCATCTATTATAATAGCCTGAATTAATTGGAGAAACTGGTCAAACTTAT